GTAGCAGCTCAGCCTGACATCTTAAGGTGCACCAAGCTGCAGTCTATATATCAAACAAAGAAGTTAATCTTGATGCTCTCTATCCTATCTTTTCAGGATTTTTTTTATTGTTTTCCTATACAATTGGCAAAACATTTCATATATTTATAACGCACAGCATGTTATTTTGATGGAGTGTGCATTGTGGAACGGCTGAATCAAGGCATTTGACAGATGTATTTCCCTATACTATACTTTGTGATAAGAATGTTCAAAATCTACTGTTGGCAGAATATACAATGTTACAGATTTCCATCATCATGACAATCACAATGTACAACAGATCTCTTGAACTTTAAGTTTTTGCCCTTTGACTATCATCTCTCCAATGCCACCCAGCCCACTCTAGCCTCTGGAGATGATTATTTTATGATCTGTTTGTAGGAGTCGTGTGTATCCCACATGGGTGTACGTGAGAGCCTGTCTTACTTCACTTAATATCCTGCAGGCTCTTCTATGTCCTCATACATGACAGGATTTCCTTCTTTTAAAAGCTGAATAATATTCCATTGTGACTGCATATGTATCTCATCAAGAATTCTTACCTATTTAAGAAGCAGCGGCAGACAGTGGGGGTGGGGATGCTGTGGCAGAGCAAGTCAGGATGCCGCTTGCGATACCATCATCCTGACTGTTAAACTTCTGATCCAGCTCCCTGGTACTATGCCTGGGAAAGTACCAGAAAATTGAATATACCTTCTCATTCACTGATTCACTGACTTACTCACCAAATGCCCCCAACAACTAGGGCTGGCCTGGTGCCCATCACCGCTGATTCCTAACGTCTGCATTAGCAGCAAGATGTCATTAGGAGTCAGGAACTAAGCCAAACACTTCGATGTGGGATGTATCTTAACCTGTGTCTTAACTGCTAGGTTAGATGCCCTACGCTTTGTCATACCATTTTGTTTTCCACTCATGCGTTGTTGGGTATTTAGGTTGATTTCACTCCCTGAATATTGGAAACAATTCTACAATGAATCTGGGAGTGCAGCTATTCCTTTGCTATATTAATAGTCTTTGGATATATGCATGCAGCAGTAGGACTGTTGGATCAGATACTAGTTCTGTTTTTAACTTTTTGAGGAACTTCCATGCTGTTATCAATAATGATTGTACTAGTTAATATTTTCATCAACAGTGGTTAAGGGATGACTTTTCACACCCTTGTCAACACGTTATCCTTCATCAGTTTGATAAAGTCATTCTAAGAAGCGTGGTATGTTATTTCATTGTAATTAAATTAAAATTATTTTATTTGACAGGGGGTAGGGAGAGGAAGGGGAAAAAAGAAAGGAAGAGGGGGAGAAAGGCAGGAGCCAGAGACTCAGTTCACAGTCCCACGTGGGTGGCAAGGACTCAACGACCTGAGCCTATCCCTGTCGCCTCCTAGGGTGCACATTCTTAACAGGAAGTTGGAATCACGAGTGGAGCCGGAGCCCAGGGACATACTGGTATGGATGTCCAAAGACACTGTGTCAATCTCCTTTCTGAAATCATGGATTCAGTTTGAATTTGCTGAGTGAGCAATAATTTTGACAAGTCCACCTACCCCTCAAATTCTAGTTTGCTGTTCGTCCTTTTTCTAACAGTTCAGTATTAGCCCCAGATGGAAGGATGCTTCCACCCTGCAGGCTCTCTTGTCACTCTTGTTTGCTTGCAACAGCTTTTTAGTTTAACATGATTCGAAGCATATTTTTTAAAATTCCATTTCATCTCCTTTTTGGTTCGTTAGCTATTAACTCTGTAGTGTGGTTACTTTAAGGTCTATAGTATACATCTTTAGCATAATATCTTCGATATTAAACCATATGGTAAAAACTTGCAGGGTTTTGTGGCATGTTGCCCAAAGTTTTACTTTCATGTGCTATAAATCTTACCATAGATTATTTTTGCTCTAAACACAGTTGTTATTTTCAGTGTCACTTATTCTTGTGTGTAGATGCAAGTTCCCATCTGGTATACTTTTCCCTCTGCTTAGAGAATTTTCTCTAACATTTTTCAAGCTTTCTTCATTTATTTAAAAGGCAATGTTACAGAAAAGGGGGCAGATAAGAAATCTCCCATCCAATAATTTCACTTCTCAGACAGCTGCAACGGCCAGGATTGGATCAAGCCAGGAGTCTGGAACTCCCACATAGGCTTGCTCAGGGGCTCGTGTGCTTGGTCAAGCTCCTGCAGCTTTCCCAAGTGCATAAACAGAGAGCTGGATAGGAAGTGGACTAGCTAGTACTCATGTGAGTTCCTGGTGTCCCAGGCTGTATCTCCACCCACTGCCCCACAATCCCAGGCCCCCTTAACACTTGCTGTGGTGACAGATTCTTCCACCTTTTGTATGTTTGCACCACTGTTTACGAAAGAAAAAATTTACCTGGATTAAGAATCCTACCTTGATAGTTTTATTCTTTAAAACTTTTTTTTTTGGTTTGCATAATGTCTGGCAAGAAGTCAGCCCCCATTCTTCATTTTCTTCTTTTCAAAATCACTAGTCCCAGAGTAATTTCTAACATAAATTTGTATAGTTTTCATAAGCATTTGCTTCGTGGGTTTGTTGTTTTCAATACATTCTGACTGCTATATATTTTTCTCACTTTCCCTTCTACTCTTCCACAGGGTCTCTACACATACATACACGGGGTTGTTTACAGTTGTCCTACAGCTCACTGACATACTGCACACGCCTTTTCAAGCTGTTTTTTCCTCGTGTTTGTCCTTTGGGATAGTTTTCATGCTATCTGAAATTCTAAATTTTCATTTCCAGATATCCGGATTATTTTTTTTTTAAATATCATTCAGGGCTTTACACAGCATACTGAGTCTTTTCTCAATCTTTGTAAATATATGTAGTTACAATGATTGTTTTTATGTCTTTGCCTAGCAATTCTAGTTCCTTGGCCAAATCTGGGTCGGAGTTAATTGACTTGCTTTTCCCTCACTATTATGGCTTGTGTTTTCCTGCGTTACTTATGCAGGACAATCTCGAGTGGGTGCTAGATAGGGTACCTTCACTTTGTTAGTTGATGCACATTTTGTAATCCTGTCAATCTCTTTGAGCTTCCTTCTGGGACAGACACAGGTAAGTCACTTAGAAGCACTTACCCTTCTGAACATTGCGGTGTTAAGCAGGACCAAAACAGCATTAGTCTGGAGTTATTTTGTCTTATTATTAGTATTCCTCAGCCCTGTGAATGGCGGCTTCTTGCTAGGCTGGCTGGAGCAGGCATGCAGCTCTCTGCCCCACAGGCACCGGCTGCCTCAGCCTCCCACGTCTTAGTTCTGCCTTACTTCTTCAAAATGGAGGAAGTCAGACCTCACTTGGCTTCCCTTACTCTTTTCCACAGAAGATGGGGAATTATCTCAAGGCAGACAGCTAATTCATCTCATTTGTCTTCTCCCATGGCTTGCTGTTTCATGGACTAATGTGCAATGTCTTGCAAACATTTTTTTTAATTTTGATGGAGACAGTATAGGAAACTGTTATTTCCTACATTTTGTTTCCTAACCCTCCACCCGCCCCATCGTTTCAGTTGGGAGGGTAGATCGGGTGCTGCTACTGCATGATAGTTAAAAGTGGAAGTCCTCATATGGAAGCTGACAATGAGTCATTCCAGGAAGCTCCCTGTCACCCACTTACACTTTTTATAGTTAGCAAATCCTACTGATATTTCATTGATCCTATTTTGAAATGTTTCAAGCATCTTTTTAGTTTTCTTTGCCTTTTATTCATCACTCCTATCCATGTGTGTTTTAATACCCAGAAGCCCTGAAAAGATCTTCCTGGCTCCATTCCTTACGCCAGACCACAAAATTTCTATCAGATCTCTATTGCTTCTGTTGCTGCTGTAGTCTCCCCAAGACGCAGAATCCAATCTGCATTTATACTCAATAACTGTGCTCAATTAATAAACTGCTCTTCTCTAACAATCGACTTACTATTTACGTAGCTTAAAAAGAAAAATCCTCCTTATTGTTCTCTAATCATAGAGCAAATTCAAGTTGAGGCTGTCATTAGTGCCTTCTGTAATAATCTATTCATCAAACTTCATGAACCGAGCCACTCTCTTGAAGTTTTTGGTTTATTTCTAACAAAGGCTTCACAGCTCTTTCAACCTGCAGACTTTCCTCATATGTTCCTTCCATCTGGAAAGTCTTTTCTATTCTTGCTCCTAAGTTTTATCCATCCTTAGAATGTCTTCCTTTTTCTTGTGTTCACATAGAAGCCATTCTACTATGAATTTGTACATCAACTACTAATTTTTTGTTGGAGCATTTTGCTTCCTATTAGGTATATTTTTTGATTGTGTATATACCTATCTTGGTTAAACTGTACTGCTGACATGGCCTTGTAAGAAAGCTATTTGGGCTCTAAACCAGATTCTATGTTACAGAGTATTGCTGGGAAAGTTTTAGTTTATTCACATTTCATTTGAATAGTCAGCAAATAACATACTATGCCTCTGTTTCTACAAAATAATGAATTTAATATAAGGAATTTCATATCAGATAATTCAACAGAAGTCAAGGAAATCCTTCTATCACATAGCCAGTGAACATAAACTGATATTTATGCAAACATTTTGTAAAATTCCTCTAAAACTTCAAAAAATTTATGATGTCATGAATACTTAAAACCTAGCATGATTATCTAGATTTCCCCTTTAGTTCACAAAAAAAGTACTAAAGGAAGATTCCATCCACGAGCACGGAAGAGTTGGCTAGAGTGAGCAAAACATGAAAAAAAAAATCATCAATTTCCATCTTGGAAGAAGCGTGAAGTTTATTTTTTTAGAAAAGTACTTCAGTGACAGGAATTCCTATAAAAAAGATGAAAATTTCTTGGCATAATGACATCCTGAAAACCTACACAGCTTCCCCTCCTTGCTAGCTAAATTTGGAACACACAAAATATACTTCCCATACAGAACCCTTCCGTACTTGAAAACAGTTAATTCACATTCTGATAAAGAGCAAAGATAAGTGCTTTATTATGAGAACTGTTCAAGTAAAATTTCAGTGTGCACCAGTGAAAGTGAAGAAAGATTTGCATCAATTTGTTTTTGAATGAACACTCACTTAAAAAGGGACTACACAGCTTTTTTTTTCTTTTTTCCAAACGCCACCGTTTGCTAAGGCAAAAATACATTTCATTTTAGAACAGAACTGTTACAGAAGAAAGCTATGTCACAGTACGGTACAGAATGCGAAGGCCATCCCGGTGTGGACGCCACCCTGGAGTGGCACATCTCCTACAGCAGCACTGTCTAACGCAGTTAGAATCACAGGCTTATCACAGCTTTACTTCGCTTTCAACTGACAAAATTTGGAACACACTTTCTATTTGTCAGGAGTGTGCAGATGGGGCCCTGTATGTTGGCATTACAGTAATTATAACATTTAAATAACATTGCACAGTCAACCTCCAAGGCTAATTCATTATAAAATAACAAGTATTAAAATGTACCATTACTAGTGGTTTTACATCATTAAATATATCACTAATTATGAAAGAAGAGTAGGCAAATGCCCAATTACAAAGCTGCACATTATAGGCGCAACGATGCAGAATAAATATAGGAGACCGGGCAACATATTTAAAACATATTTTGTTACATGGGAACAAAACTGAACAACCCTGTAAGCATAAATCAGTAATATACAGTTACAAACAGTGTGTTTTGCCCACAAGTCTCTTGAGTACTTACAGATATTATAGCGGTGGGAGGATGAAGAGTGTGGGTGGAGAGCGAGGCAAGTGTTCCCGATGCCAGTTAATTCCTGAGGTGGCATTATTTCTAACTGACACACTGACCAACACTAACAGGATGAGCTTGTGCTATGAAACGGTTCCAATATTTCTGCAGTTAATCTGTAGTCTTCTAGAGGCAGCAGATCTAAGTGACAGTTGCCGGTGTTCATAGCCAGATGGGGTATGGATTCTTTTTCATTTTGTTGCTACAATTAGCAGTGGGTCAGGAAACGCTTCAAAGTTCAAAGGAAACTGGGTCAGATTTAACCTTCCGCCTAGTACTTCTTACTTAGCTCGAGGCAAGCTAGTATTTATCCTCATGGACTTTATTAAAAAACTCTAAGTGCCAACACTGTAAACATCTTGCATCTTCTCAACTAAACCTTGTTGGACAACAAGGATAAGCGCAAAGATAAGCAGGAATATAATAAAGCTGATCTAGTTACCAGCTTCCAGTTTAAAATTAAATATGATTTAAAAATAATTTTTAAAAGTCCATGCTTCAATTGGAAAGACAATTTTTGTGCACTTTTAATTTTGGACACAATTTTCAAAATTGCATGATGGAGGTAAGAATTTTAAAAACCCACTAAAATGTCAATAACAGGGAATAACATTTCAACTTAAAGCATCAAAGGTACATGTATGTGCAGAAATCTAGACAACTATACAAGTTTTTAAGCAATCGTGTTTTATTATACAACTCTATGAACAGAAAATGAACAGAAAGACACAGTATACTTACCTGTACATGTGAACCTACTTTTTACGCTACAGATATTCATTATAGTTCATACGCACTTTTAATTTTGCAGTTCATAACTATGTATAACCTTATTGCATTACGGGTAGATTCTACATGGGGAGAGTCACAGGTGGACCACATGAGGCATTAACCAGTATATTCAAAAGACTGTACCTCCTATCTGGATGTGTCTTCCCTGATCCTGTAAATGTGGATTTCTTTACAGCTTAAGCTCATTTGCTATTTTGGATGCAATGTTCTTAAAGGCAATAGATGTCCCAGATATTCGCTTGAAGCGGACCCCATTAAGTGACAGCCGGGGCAACTTGCAGACTTCCATCTCCCACTGCACAAGGCTGTCCTGTCTAGCATCTCCATGGACACAGAAAAGCAAAAACCTCTCTTTCTGTTCATAATCACAGTTATTTGCATCTAACACTTTTCGGATTTCTCTCATCATGTCATTAGGGTCCATAGAACTAGTGGTCTTCATACTCCACGTGAACCGCAAAGAACGCGGCTTGGAATCTTTGCCCTCTTCCTTGTCTCTTTCTTTTGGTTCCCCTGATGTACTTCTGGAAGAAGAGGGTAAAGGGAAAGAATGAAAACAAAAATTGCATTAGCGAAGAAACCAAAACATAGAATATCTAAGTGGTCACAACTACCTGCCTCCTGAAACTACCCAATTAGCAAACTACCTTTAGAGCCACAGACTTGTTGTCTTGCTGTTATTAAAAACAGATCCCAAGACGGCATCTTTTTTTTTTTTGCCTATTACATTCTGCAATCTGAAACAGTCTACTTTCTTAAATCTGTAGTTCAAAGTGAAGAATTGAATGCTTTTTTCACTTCCTTTCACATTTTTTTCTGTTCAAGTTTACAAAAACTTGATTCTACGTTTTCTGCATATATATGTATGTACATACATACAAGTAATATCACTAATATTCTAATATTCTGCTTGTAAACATATATGTTTAAAACACAAGGAAAATATTCTTTTCCCCTTTTTGGTAGGAGGAATGACTGCAAAGGTCACGGAAATGAGTTTTATCTGCTAATGTTGAGAATGGATGTTGTACTGCAAACATACAGAGGCTTCCAATCATACAAGACTGTTCCGTATCATCCAGGTTACTAACGACATCTCTAAACAGTCTAGAAGGCCCCACATGACCTACATTCCAACTTTTACTTCCACCCCTTCATTACTTATCACTTCCTTCCCTGCTCACAGTTAAAGGGCCATGGTGGTGTACACACTCTTCTTGGACACTCAGGGTGCAGTCTTGCTCAGGGCTTTTACACAGGCAGTTCCCTCCGCCAAGAACACCCTCCCCTCAGATGGCTGCATTGCTAGCCCTCTCACACTTCACATCTCTGCTTTTTCTCCACCCTCTCTACTGTACACTGACTCCAAAGTCCAATGCTCGCATGGTCAGCCCTTCTCACCTTGCTTTAAGTTTTATCTATGGCACTTATTATATTCTAACAGATTTGTTAGCACATTTATCAGACTTATTATCCTTTACCTGAATCTACTGTAAGATTATAAACTCTAGGAGGGCAAGGAATCTATTTTATTTACTGACACATTGTAAGCAGATGATTAACATATATTAGTTAAAGAAATCTGCTCATTAAATTTTGCTTATATAGGTAGCTCACCCACCAATAATAAATACCCAGAAAACCTATATCAAATGATCACAGGAAAGTAAAATTAATGCATTACTCATGACACAGAGTACCTTGAAATTAAATTTATTAAGCAATTGTTCAAATAGTTAAATATTATAGTTTTAAATTATCAACATATATCTGGGCTTAAAGAAATAAGCATGTGAGGGTACTTCAGAAAGCTCACAGAAAAATGGAATTAAAAGATAAGTTTGTTTTGGTGCAAAAAGCTGAAGTCTGTGCATGGATTTCCCATAATCCATATTTCCTGAAGACTCTTCATATACATGGATTTCAAAATTTCTGAGTCAAAATAAACTTACCTTTTAATTCCATTTACTACAAAAATTTCATAGTTCTCTCACATAACTCAAAATCTACATAAACATTTTATATCAAAATATGCATTTTCTATTAATATACTATAATGTATATTCCTGTACATACTTATAAATGTACAATTTTATATAAGTTGTCCCCGTATTTCTAAGTATCTGAGCCTACAGAGCTTTGCAAACCATGCATGCTAGCAAAAATAAGGAAAGGAATTGGTAGACAAAAGAAATTTTCAAAAATGATTAAACAGAAATGAATTTATTTCACTGCTTCCTCTTTTTGCTCTGTTTATGTTAAGCATTGCATCCCAGGTCTCTTCAGGTCACTTCTCAGGGTCACACACACTCCTGAGAACGGGATCAGCATGCTGGGGCTAGAAGCGATCTGAGAGATCACCTGATGAAGCATCCATTTTAAGAACAGAGCAGATGCCTGAAAATTTAGTTTTAAAAAGTCATAGAGATAATGAGTTGAAAAAGAGAAGACTAGAAATCAAAGGTTTTATTCCAAACTCTAGTTTTCCTTCTATTTCACCTTAAGATAGGAGGCAGGTTTGTTTGTCTGTAAGTCTCTCACATACATAACTAAGGATAAAGTTAACGCTGACTCTATCAGAACAATAGTTCATATATTTACTGAGCAAACTTTACTAAGTGTAGGAACCATCTGGAGAACCTAACAGGGATTACTGACTTACTTATCCCTCACAGCAGTCCTACAGAGTGGTCAGGAAGAGGAGCACAGACACAAGGAGCTGAAGTAGTTTTCTTAGGGTCCCACAGGGAGGAAGGTGGGGAACACAGTTCCAACACCCACACTCTGGCTCACCAGCTCCTGCTTTGCTCCTAACAACTGCAGCACACGGTCTCTCTGAGGGGGCAGAATTACATTACGACTGGTTTGCTTCTGCTTCACTTGTAAAACAGGTATTTTCCACACGATTGTTCTGAGGATTAAAGGAACAGCAAATACCTTGCAGACAGCAGGTATTCAATAAACCTTTGTTCCAACACACAAAAGGAAACCAAACGCAACCACAAACAAACAAAAGGGAATGTGCAAAGTGCTTTGTCAACATTTATAAAAGATCAGTTATTAAATTCTTACAATGTTAATAAAAGTATGCAGTCATAAAAAGGATAAAGATGGGTGCAGAATAACTGCAATATTGGGGGCCACTTGTGTCATTTAAGGGAAATTTTAGTGGAAACACAGGGTGACAAGCAAGGAGGAGGCTTGAATGCAGAAGTAAATAAGGAAAGGGCTAAGGGCTAAAAGCAAAAGTCCTCCATGTTTATGTCAGATGAAAAAGAAAGTGCAAAACACTTGTCTCACCTCCCTATGGGTCACTACCACAGTGACCTAAGTAACTAACACTATAAAAACACATTTCACTTACTGTGACTAAACAGAGTATAATTTGTAACTACTTATAAATAACACATAGCTTGTAAAAAATTATAGTTTGCAAGCAAATATAGTTTGTAAAAGCACATAGTTTCAGTTTCTAAAAATAATCAGATGCATCATAGTTTTTCCAAAGTTCATCTTATTTCATATTTTAAATAATTTTAAGAAGTACAAATTAAGAGTCTATGTTCTGCAAGTCAGATATAGTTCCTGAATGAAACCAGGTGCTTGTCATAATGTGGAACAACTTGATAGTTCTGAGATTCAGACAGTATCCCTCAGGGTTTGCGAACACTCAAAATAATTGAATACCTTTGTTTCTTAACATTTCTCATTCAAGAGCTACCAGCCTTGTAATATGGACCAGCCTGAGTAGCACCTGCAACCCCACCCCTTCAGCCATGTTGAATCAGAAACCCGGGTGTGAGAGCGAGAATGTTCTCATGAGTTCCTCTGTCATTCTGTTTCAGCTCCAGTTTGAGATCCACTTGACGAATGAATACTCAACTACTACTGAATCTAAAATGCACTCACACACGCGTGAAGTGTGATAGCAAAGTTTTAAAATGTGTTCTAACACTGAATGCTCGGCTAAAATACTTTAATACCATCAGATCTCTAGCCCTGTGACATTTGTGCTGTGTGACACAGACTAATTTCAATTATATCACTTTAGTGAGAGAAAGATTAGCAAACTTCGGTTAGTCACTCTGCTATGATATTTTTATGAAACAGAACAGCTTGTCTTTACCACGTATATATATCAAAATAATGTTTGAAAAACATTAAAACTCCAAGTTGACTAGCTATCATTAGAAAAACCCACCCCAACAAAAAATTTTAAAATATACACACTATCTATTTATTAGTTGTATTCATGATTAAGTGCTACAAGTATTTCGAAAGCATGTCTCCATACACAGGGGCCTAGCAGCGAAGTGTCACTAGTGGCTCCTCACCTTGAGGTGTCGGTTCTGCCACTGGCTTCGCCTTCACTTGGATCCCTCAAAACAAAGTGAAGGTTGAGATTTAATGATAAAGATGAAAATATATCAAGAAAACCTATGTCTAAAATGATTTTAAAATTAGCTGTTGAGCACACTTGCACCATGACAGTTATCTACTACGAGGCAGCCTAATGCTGTTTTCCATTTCATCAGCAGCACATGGAGCCATCATTTATTGAGCGTCTACTGGGTATGAAAACATACCCGGTGAAAAGTTAAATTTTTTAAACATGATCTTCCAGTCATGACATTAAAGCTGTAATTTAACTTTTGGTTTAGTTTAGTTCAATGTAAGTTAAAATATTCAATAATGATCAACAACAAGATTCAACTTCATATTTATTACATGTAATTCTAGTAGTCGCTCAATTTAGAAAACATATAAAATGAATCTTTTAGTTTAAACTAAAAGCTCAACACAGCTGTTTTTCAAAATTAAGTACCAATTTTTAAAGAAGCAATTAATACATTTCAGAAGTTATCATGCAATGATAAGATATCAGAGCAAATCAACAGCCTATCAAAGTTGGTGAGTCTAAAAACATAGAATCAGTCTTATATAAAAACATTGATCTTACCTGGGCATCCACCTGTGAAATAAAATCAGGAAAACACCACTAATTGCAACTGTGTTTAATGTCATCACATTTGAAGTCTACCATTACTTTAAACACTTTACAATTAATATCTTCATAAGAGTATCAAGTAACAAATCAATTAAAATATATTCAGAGATAGTTTTGAGAGAGTGAAATACTAGAGAATCACCAATTTGAACCTTAAGTTAGTGCTGTCTTAAGCATTCTTTGAGTATTTATTTTATTTTTATATAAAAGAATACAACTAAAGAAAAACTGGATCCATTTATCTATACCCCAAATTAATAAAAACATATCCATACCCCAAGTACTAAAACATGAAATGATTATTAAAAATATGAGTGGTTCATCCCTGTCAGGGTATTCAACTAAAGGGTTTTAATTAAGAAACATAGATTTTTAAAAGTCTATTTTATTTCACTTTTATTTATTTGAAAGGCAGAGGAAGAGAGAGACAGGGAGAAAGCACAAAACCTTCCATATGCTAGTTCATTGCTGAAATGCCTACAACAGATGGAGCTGAGTAAGGCTGGGTCAGGAGCCAAGAACAATCTGGTTCTCCCATATAGTGGCAGAGAACCAACCCTTTGAGTCATTGCTGCCTTGTAGGGTGTACGATAGTGGGGAGCTGGAAACAGAAGTGGGACCAGAACTGAAACCCAGGCACTCTGATACTGGATGAAGACATTCCAAGAAGCATTATAACACCTAACCTAAACACCCACTGCTACACAAAAACATATTTGGTAGAAAAACACTTTTCCTATCTGAATTATAAAAGAGCATCAAACATACTCTAACATCCAATGGGGTTTTTTAAATTTTTAAAATTTAATAATTGTCATTTTTCATTGAGTAATAAAATAAAAATGCAAGTTATCAATACAAATATGTTTATTACAGTACACTGAAATAAAACATTTCTGAGCAGGTCCAATTTTAGTTCCTTGTGGACACACTGACAGAGAGGGACGTCCACCAAACCCAGCAAGGAAACTAGTAACGCCCTTGCTCCTGGAGCTTAGGTAGAATTCCTTTGACAGGAAGAGATGGCTCACTAGACTTTTCTGCCCATTTCTATTTTGCCTTATCACTCGCTGTAAGCAGATACCTATTCCATTACTGAGAAATCTTAATTGTTGGGTGTGCAACATCCCTTAGATCTATTGCTATAATGAATTCAGACAGTAACCATACCCCAATCCTATCTATCTGGCTGCCAGTGGGAACGCCGACAGACAGAATTTCTGTTTCTTGGCAATTGTCTAACCCATGATGTGCATTCAAGAAGCTATGTGACAGGCAGACGGGACATGTAAGCGACAGGTGAGTCTCTTGCAGCATATTTCAGCATAACCTGGTTCTCCAAAAGCTAAAACATATGTTACATATAGTGGTATCTACACTGGGCCTAGATACAGGTCATCCCCTGAGACGGGATGTACAGAGGCCATGAGCCACAGATGTTCTGGGGCAGAGGATTCTAGGTAGAAGAAGAGCAGTACATTTCCCATGTCTGGTGTGCTTGGTATGCTCAAGGACAACCAGGTGCATGTGTGGCAGCTGAGTGGGAGAACAGGTGAAAGCAGAACTGGCAGTCAGAGTACACGGGGCCTAGACAGGCCACTGGGAGCGCTTTGGGTTGGGGTTTGAGCAATATGAAAGGAAGAGGTAAAGGAATGCCATGATCAGAATCACATTCCTCAAAATAGAATCATAGAACAAGGTTGGACACTAGGCGATATAGTAAGAGGTCAGACTAACAGCAGCTTACATTATGGAGGCAATGGTAGGAATGCCAGAAGCAGTTATCTTCTAGAAATTTTGTGAAACTGGAGCCAATACAACTTACTAATAGATTTGATGTGTGGTATATGGAAAAGAGGTAGCAAGGATAACTCCAAGGCCATGGTCTGAGTACCTTATCTGTTCCTAAAATGGTGAAAAAGGAGGGAGGAAACGGTTTGGGAAGATGACCTGGAGTTGAATTTTGGAAATGTTTTGTCTGTCTGACTTTATTACTCATACAGGTGGAAAGGCCGAGTAGGAAGTGGTTCAGAGGAGAGATTTGGGCTAAGATACACATTGGGAGTTGTGAATGCAAGATAGAATTTAATATCATGAGTTTCCATGAGGTCACCAGCAGAGTAAGATAGATCAGAGAAGAGAATGTGTCCAAGACTGTAGCCTGGGGCATCCTGACGTCAGAGGTTGGGGGAAGGTGGGGAATGTACAAAGACCCAGAAAAGAAGCCTGAGAAGGAATAGTTGATGACACAGGAAAAAAAAAAAAAAACAGAGCAAAACAGAGCCAAGCAAGGAAAGTGTTCTGTGTGAACTACTGCAAGATAAGTTGCTTTCAGGAAAGCAGGTGGCAGTTCTGTGTCACACACTGCTGAACCAACAGCACTGGTAGAATGTCTAGTACTTGCTAAATGGTTATATGGCAATCCCTTATCCGAAACTCCCAACAGGCACTTCTTAATACAACATTCTGATCCCTGAATTCTTCTCTTAAAAATTTGTTCAAGTATTTGTTTGAGAAGCAAAGTGAGAGTGAAAGAGAAAAGGAAAGAGAGAAACCAGCACATTTTCATTTATTGATTCACTCCCAAAATGCCTGTAGCATCTGGAACTGAACAGGAGCTAAAAGTCAGGATTGCATTCCAATTATCAAACATGGAAGGCAGGACCAAGTTGATGGGATCATCACCGTAGCCTTCCAGAGTCCTGCACTTGAGCAGTCGGAGCCAGCCATTCCACAACATGGGATATGGGTATCTTAACTGCTACCCTAAGCCATCTACCCACTCCCTGCTTCCTGACTTCCGGTTCAGAGTATGCTTTAATATGTTTCCTCCAAAATCTTAGAATTTAACTTATTATTGCATGAGTAAGACAGGTATTTAATGTTTAATGTATAACTAGTAATTTAGCATTAAATTCAAAATCGACCTTTCTTCACTTAAAAATATATCCTGACTTGACAAGAAAATACTGGCTTTAAAAAACAGCCTCGAGCCCAGAGCAGTGGCCTAGCAGCTAAAGTCCTCACCTTGAAAGCACCGGGATCCCAGATGGGCGCAGGTTCTAACCCTGGCAACTCCACTTTCCATCTAGTTCCCTGCTTGTGGCCTGGGAAAGCAGCTGAGGACAGCCCAAAGCCTTGGGACCCTGCACCCGTGTGGGAGACCTGGAAGAAGTTCCTGACTCCTGGCTTCGGATCGGCATAGCATCGGCCATTGTGGTCACTTGGGGAGTGAATCATTGGACAGAAGATCTTCCTCTCTGTCTCTCCTCCTCTATGTATATCTGACTTTATAATAAAAATAATAAATAAATCTTTAAAAAACCAGCCTCAAATAGTCAAATTCTATAAGCAGCGCTTGCTCATGGTCTGCCTAGTGCCCTGCAAATGGTCAGCTAACATTACCACCTAACTTTCATGTCATGTCTGCTGGTGAGCTCCTAAGACTTTCTCTGTTAGACTGTGGTGCTGCAAGCTAATTGTCAAAAGGGTCCAAGACCATTGGCTGATATGGTCAGAAACTGAAGTAGTCTTTGGGGAATTAAAGTTATAAAATTCAGCTGTGAGATCCTAACAAAACTGTGTTAATAAAACTCCATGAGAAAGCCACAGACTCAAGCTGTTTCCCTTGTTTTGCCTATCTAGTCATTGCAATCCTAGGAATATTAATAACATGTTTAACTAATATTCCTTAAAGCAAATGCAATCATTTCTTGCTCATCAATTAAGAATGATAGGATACAGAGCCTTAACTTCCTCCTTAGGTAGAAGCAATCGGGCCTTCTTCTAGGCTCATAGCATGTTGCCCCCATTTAACGTTTAGTCTGCAGTCTGCTGTCAGGACCAGTTGTTCACATGGCAATTTCCACCAGACTGTAGCAATCTAGGGGGTACAAATCCTGTCTTGTTCATCTTCATCTGCTGCTCTGTACCCAACACATGGCCTTGTTTGACACAGGGCCTAAATTACAGACATTCAGCGGGCATGGTAATATGTCAATTTTATACCAGCCTGACTTTATTCAACTGCTTGTGGAATTGAGGTGCAATATCCATACATGGACTGTTTTATTAGAAGCTTATTATACATGTGTCCACTTTGTGTTAATAGTTTTAATGTTAAGATAATAGACTAGCATGTATGCTTGCCATATAATAAAGAAATAAGGTAAACTACATAAGTTATTTATGAACAATTTATAAGTATTTTAAGATATCATTTGAAGGGCACACATAAGATCACTTTTAATTCCTTCTTCTAAATCAAGGTTTTTAAACATAGGTAGGTATCCCTTATTTGGGACAAAAAGTGTTTCAGAGAGTTTTCAAGTCTTAAATGCTCCAATATTTGAATTTTTGAGAACCATGTTGACATTCAAAAACTTTCAGATTCAGAGGATTTGAGATTTTGGATTTTTGGATTAGAGATGCTAAACCCAAATAGTTAATCATTTTGTTAAAACATACTTTTGATGTCAAGTTTTTGTTCTTTCCATTCTGTTTTAAAAAATTAAACATTCTTATTTTGAATTTTTAAAAAAATTTCTCTCTTAAGGAAAGAATTTTATATCTTCCTGGATTTTGTATAAAAGGGGAAGCTCTAATGAAAGATCACAAAACTACTTCAAGAAACAGTGGAACGCAAAATCAAGCTGTCTTTAGAGTCCTTAGGAGGAACAATACCCATTAGTTCATCGGTACTGACCTGCGAACGAATTTGGACGTGATTTTGCTGATTATACCAGTGGATGTTCCCCTTCTGGCATGTGAAAATGCACCCGTTTCGTGGGACGGGGAAGCAGGTGGCCCATTGTAAGCAGCACTGCGTCGCTCCCGGAGCTGCTCGCCGTGGAAAGTACTCCTGCTGGAGCTCCCTCGGGGGAAACGGGTCCTGTCTGGGGTGGCAGCACTGATACTGTGAGCAGATGGGGAGGCAGCAGGCACTCTCTGGGTAGTACTGCTGGGACAAATTAAGATATATTATTCAAGATAATGATGGGGAAAGCTTTCACTCAGACTGAAAACTCTTAAAAAAAAAAAAACCTGGCCATAGTTACTTCATTTAGCTTCTCTTATTTGTTCACATTGGAAAGGTAAGAGTTGTGCTGATTGTATTTTTCACGTAACAGTAGAGGAACAGAATTCCAGTTTGAAACAAAATGCCTTTTGTAAAAACATAGTCATTAAAAAGTCACTGAAACGTGGACATAAAGACAAATAATTTTAGGAGTGCCAGATGGGTATTGTATAATATATTCTTTTGCTATTCTTCTAAGCCACACAGTAATGTGAAACACGTCTTTTAACTATTTATCAAAATGACTCTGAATAGCTGTTGTTTTTCATTTCTATTTTAGGCCTCAGTAATAGCATAATACTACACGGTACTGACAATGTAATTAAGAAACACCACTGTCATAAGGAGTTAAAATATTCAGATGTCCTCATTTTGACGAATCCTAAATCAGACATACTATAAAATTAGTCACGTGATTTTTCACTTCAACAGGCAGAGTTCATCTGCTTCACTGGTACAAAAACCAAAGTCCAGTGTCATTAAGAAGCAACTGGCAGGGGCCAAGATGTCTCAACTCCTAATCTAGTATTATTTGTGTGTTTATCTCATAATATACTCAATTTACCTAAATGGTAAGTTAGACATTCATTTATTTACGGGTGAAATTAAGATAAAATTCTTCTAGAAAACTCCTTTGGAAAATGATCAGTTATAGGCAACACTGTGCACATGGCCAAAGTACACAGAAAGAGGGCGCTACAATTCAGCTTCTCCTTTGTCCTCATCAGTGAATCTCTTCAGAAAGCTCTTATTGTGATGGTGACCCACATATTTTCATTCGCTGCTATGTTTCTCAAGGCTATTAACAAATAAACTGCATCCAGTACATTACCCAGGCCGGTAGGCTTCAGAACCGTCTTTAATTGTTGGCAGTGTGACTTTAATCGGATGGCCAGAAGTGGACATGGACTTCTGGTGGCGGGGTCGTGCTGAGGCCGCAGCAGACGCCACAGTAGAGCCTGCAGAAGATATGCTACTGGCAGACATCTCCGTAAGGCTTGTGGCGTGAGACAGTTGAGCAGACCATTGAAATGTAGAAAAGAAACATTACAATTTACTAAAATTCAAGAATTTAATTTTCAAAGATTTAAACTAACATCTTTCTTGACTGAAATACTTGGAAGAACTAGTACTGTTATTGTCTGTTGAAACAATTTTTTTTAAATGCTTTATTTGCCTACTTGAAAGGCAGAGCGAGAGAGAAAGAAAGGGATAGACAGAAAGAGAGATGGAAAGACAAGAGAGTGGGCTCTCATCTGCAGGTTCACTCCGGAAATGCTGCAACAGTGAGGGTTGGGCTAGGCCAACCAAGCAACCAGGAACTCCATCAGTCTTATCATTTGGATTGCAGGGACCCAAACTCTTGGGTCATCACGTGCTGCCTTCCCAGGAGCATCAGCAAGGAGCTGAATCAGAAGCAGAGCAGCTGTAGTTTGAGCTGGTACTATGACGGAGTGATGCTGGTGTTGCACGCAGCAGCTTAATCTAGTGTGTCACAATGCCAGCCCCCGAAACTACATTCTTATTAAAGGTATGCTGGATAAATCTATCACCATGGAAAAGCTCTCACACATCTGCTCTATACTTGTGACTCTCAGAAGATATGAAGTTATTTTTGTGAACGTGTGAGTTTCAAGTAGACTGAAGACATTTTTCACTTCCTCCTAAAATCAAAGATTTGTGATACGTCACTGTGTTCACTATTAGTCATATAGTAAGAATTCATAATTATACTAAAAACAGCATCCCTGGAAACATCAGCGAAACACCTGACTCATATCATGAAGCAGTAAGTGAACAGTTACAGATCAGAATTTAATACAGGGAAAATAAGTCAGAAATCACTTATTGACTCTCTTTCTAACCTTAGAGGATGTTACATCCAAGGAGGGTAAACTTACCACTGTATGCCTTCCATAACACTGACATTTCATGCTACTGACTGACTGGCAACACGCTGGTCTGTGTACTCTACCGAAATGGCTGGAACTAATTTCACAAGTTCCGAGAGTCAGCGCCATGTTCTCTTGTACTAGCTTGTGGAGTAGTACTTAAAATGCATGACATAAAGTTACTTTTTTTTTTTTTAAAAATAACAACAACAACAAAAAAGATTCGTAAAATACTTTAAGAACTGGACCAGCTGAGATGGTTACATTTCTTCAAAGAAAAGAAAAGAAAGGTTCTAATTACTTGGATTCTTTGATGATTTGGTAAAAGAGGGAAAGGAAGGAAGAAAGAAGTAGCCTAAGAGGTAAGATTCAAGTTACAACAATCGGATTAAGATTTTGGTTATAGGGGAATAGTCACCATGAGATTCTACTCAGAAATGTGCAAGTGAAGGGATTCCCTTTCTATTTCCTCTAAGTATGTTCCCATTCTTCCCTCCTGGTAGAGAATGGCAGGTGTCTTAGATGGTTGGCTGCAGTTTTAACCACTGTGTACTTTCTTTTCCTTTGATCCAGCACTCTGGCAAGCAGCCTGATGCCAGCAGTGAAGGTAGGAATACTGGGCACGCGGGCATTTACCTGCTGTCTTTGCCGTTCTGCAATGCTGTGTACCGATCTGTGGTCCTTTCACAGACATAGGTGTTCCTTCTGGCCATGCTGCCTCCAGAATACACATTGCTCTTTAAAAAGGAAAAAAAAAATTTTTTTAAATCCCAACTATATTCAGGGAAAGATAAAGCAATGCTTTTATTCTGCTAATAATTTTGAAAAAGATTTGTAATTTTGATTGGAATGTTATTTGAACAAGATCCTCTCTCATACAAACATTTATATTTTAGGAGTAAAAAAATGTGTTAGCTTGCTTTCCCATAGCAGCGTCTAGCATTCACCTGATGTAAGAAGAGCACCAGGTTTTTACGATTTAGTATTATTTTTTTTAATTGGAAAGGTGGATATACAGAGAGGAGGAGAGACAGAGAGAAAGATCCTCCGTCCGACGATTCACTCCCCAATCGATTGCAACAGCCGGTACTGCACCGACCGAAGTCAGGAGCCCAGATCCCTGTCGGGGTCTCCCACGCGGGTGCAGGGTCCCAAGGCTTTGGGCTGTCCTCGACTGCCTCCCCAGGCCACAAGCAGGGAGCTGGATGCGAAGCGGGGCCGCTGGGATCAGAACTGGCGGCCACATGGGATCCTGGCACATTCAAGGCGAGGACTTTAATCACTACGCTATCACGCCGTGCCCGAGCACCAGATTTTTATTTGCTCCCTTCTTGTGAGCAGGTGGGAAAGGGGCAGAGTAAGTCAGCTCTACAGTAAGCATCATCATGAGCAGGATCCTGTGGCATTGAGGAGAGATGGCAGGTGTGCCCAGAAGCCTATAGAGGGCTGCCCTCCATTTTTGACCTGTTTCGGATCCTTCCCCACCAGCCAAGGGGACCATTATAGAGACTGAAGCTCCATGGTCAAAGGCATGCCCTGCAGAGCACACCAATGGAAGTGTGGGCACTGTTTCTCTGAAAAAGTTCCTCTAGTAATGTCAAGTTTTAGCTGGGATGTAGACCAAGCCCAAGGAACTTTGGACAAAGGAGAAAGAATAAGCAAAAGAGGGGCAGAGAAATGGGTGACTCTCTTACTACACACACAGCCTTGACTTGTAAGCACTTTGAAACACTCAAAACACTTAAAAATAAAACTTTCATGAAGACTCGGACAAACAAATTGTGAAATCACTCTACAGTTACTCACACTTGGAATGGTTGAAGACTTCTTCCGCTCTGGCCCCACAAGAGGGCTGGTGGTCATCTCACTTTTGGATCCCACGGTTGTGCTACCAAGTTTACGAGCCACATCTTTGTCCCACTCTTCTTTCTGTTCACTTTCCACGCTGTTGGCCTGGGGCCTTTTGGTATAGGACACAGCAGGAGGAATGGATGGACCAGCTATATTTTTTAAAAATAGCACAATTAGCTAAAAGTCAACTCATGTATTTCCTTCTCACAAACAAGAACTCCATGTTAAAATTAGCTATGTGTGCATGTTTTAGGATGTGAACTAAGATGAAACTGATTACAAGGCTCAGGGCAGTGTCATTCAATAACATAAAGGTGTGAGAACTGGATGACACAAGCACACACAGATGTGAGTGTGTAACGCTTAAAACACACAAGGTTGGGTGACCCAGTCTGTCTTTTCACTTATTTGACTGTCCCCCCACCGTGGTCACTAAAACGGCGCTGCTTCTGGTTTGCTGAGATGCTCCGCTGGACTTTCAGGTGAGCAGGGGACTGAAGAGTGCTGTTGTTCAGGTCACTGCTGGGCCTGGATCTCTGACACAAATTCCCACTGGACAACGACTCACCGCCTTCAAACTGTAAGAACAAAGACCAGAAACATGGCTCTATAAATGGTACAGCCTCTGGAGCTTTCTACACAACTTAGAGCTTGACAAGGAGCAGTAAGAATTAAAACACTCTGGCTTTGATATAGAATTTTGGGTTGCTAAGCAGAGAGGTGACAGACAGGTGATAGGAGGTGCTTTACGAGTACTGGAAATCCTCTACACAAACTTCATGTTTAGTTGAATGTCAAGAAATAGTTACCAATTATTGGATGGTCATTATATATGAAGCACTACCTTAAGCTCTTTAAGTGTTATTTTGTTTAATCACTACAATAAACTTCTGATGTCTTAATCTATACACTATGGAAGGAAAAACACATATACATATAACATATATATATATTTATTATATTTTGCTTGTTTGTTTTGTTTTCTCTGCACTTATAAAACAGAACTTGGTTTATTGATTCTGTCAGGAAATTGCATCTACTTAGATCTATGTAAACTACAACTTCAGACATCAACTCCTCTTTGTTGCCAGCAAACTTCTGACTGAATCACTGGCATGAGAACAGAAAATCTAACTGATGATACTAAGGGCAAACACACTAAAAACACTAATGAAGATACTTCTATGGCTAACAGTCGACACAAAGCCGAGTCAGAGCTTCCCAAGTATAAATCCATTTACTTTTCTTAATGACCTCAGAGGTGAGGACTATAAACATTCCCATTTTACACATAAGGAAACTGTGGTGCAATTGCCTAAGTCATATATTTACACATCTTACAACCTCCTGGGTGGGTCTGGCCGTACCTGTGGTAGGTGTGCAACCTCCAGTGAGCTTGCAGAGTACCCAGTGCATTCCCCCAAGCACAGCACAGGACACACAGCCGACTGCTATCTCCCCTCCAGACTGAGGTTCCTTGAGAGCAGAGGCTTTCCTTCCTTCTAGTCACAGTACTTAGTAATTTCCAGGACAGAGCTAAGTCCAATAAATGTCAGGCAGGATGCTTTATTCTTAGCTACTATGTAAGTGTAAATAACTTCAGTCCTCTCTATAAAATTTCTACTGTTAACTTCTAATTTCCACAAAGCCTCAATTCTTTGCACTCTTTTATTGACTTTCAAAACTCTTTATGTTGGCCTTCCCACAAGATTGTTGACTTTCTTTGGGTCACCATTTGTACAGCTATTTTCATACTCTATCTCCTTGTTATAAACCTCTCCTGGTCGCAAGGATTCCTCTTTGAATGTGGCAAAGCAATCTAACACTCTACAGGGCAGAGTACCACAAAACAACCTTTCCCTGGATTCCCATCAATATAAATCCTTTAAGACACACATTTTGTTTTAAATGCTTTCCTTGCATTGGTTCAGCTATTGTCTTTTCTGCACACAAGGACAACCATATTACTTCTGGTTACTCGGAAAGCACAGGTTATGCACTACACAATCTTGCAGGACACCACTCTCATGTCTCTTGGAGCTCAGCAAGGTGTATACTTGCCCTTTTATAAAGTCTCTCTTATTAGCCAGAAATCAAAGTCAAAATTCAGTAAGAAATAACAATGTTACAGCCTTTACATTATTTCATATTTATTAACATTATATCCCTATCATTTAGTTCAATAAATAATTTACATTAACTTGAAAAGAGAAAAACTTACTTCAGGTGGTTTTCTACCTAGAAGAATGTAAGTAGCCATAACTTCATCATATTTCTGATTTATTAAGGCATCATTTATTTCATCTCGTGCAAAACCCATGGTGACCATAACATCTAAGGAGAAAAAAAGCAGTTTCTGAAAAATGGTTTTATTAAAGTAAACAAATCAATAAATATGCCTAAGTTTGCCAGTATCAGGTATGAAAACTAAGTCCTGAAAAAATACACAGAACAAAGTCATTTATAAAAATTTCTAGATATCAACCTATCGATACTAGTCGCAGAATTTTTTAGTATATGTGCTGCCGAAGCAAGCACAAGTCACAGAATTTTTTAATGTAGTGATTATCTACAAGAAGGATTATAAGCATATTATGTGTCCACCCAATTTTTCATTCCTGGGCCGACTTTCTTTCTCAAATGCAGACAGTCTACAGTACACAAATCCCCCCTCTCTTTGTCAACATATCCTCAGTTACTCCTAGTTTCTTCTCTCAACAATTTCTACTTTCTGATCCACAGCATATTGATTCTTTTTTGGAAGGATCAAATTTCCTAAGTCATTCTTCTAATCAGGTGCCTGATACTTTAAAATGCTTTTCCACACTGTCTGCTCTCGAGCCAGACAGCGGTCTAGTGTAGATGACTCATTGTAAATTGCTGAGAGCTTTTAGTACAAAAGAGAAAGCCAGTTGAAGAGTGAGTGCTGACTGGCCATGGGCAGTGGCAGCATGAGAGGAAAAGACTGTCAGACTGCCAGATCTTGCTAAGAGCAGAAAAAAGCAAGTCAAGTGTTCAACTCATTCACTTTGTTGCCTCTCAAGTTTGGTGAGAAGAAATGCTACATGTATTGACATTTATCAGTGTGATCAGTATGGTAGTTTTATCAGTCAATTCTTCCATGAGGGATGGAGGAAAAATAAGGTTTATCTATATATTTTTTAATAACAATGCTGGCAACATTTTGGACCATGGTGTATATATAAGGACAGACTAATAAAGAAAATGTTTATGTTGATTGTCTATTAGGTTATAATGCAGGTATTTTTCAAATAATATTTTCATACATATTTGAATTTTATTTTGTTTATCAGAAAAGGAGAAAGAAGCAAAGAGGGTGGGAGACAGAGACAGATGCAGTGACAGAAAGAGAGATGGATTTTGCATGCTGGTCTATTTTCCCAATGTCTGCGACAGTTAAGGCTGGGCCAGGCCAAAGCTAAGAGCAAAGAACTTAACATGAATCTCCCACGCAAATGTCAGCCATTGAAGTACTTGAAATTGTATCTCATGCCTCCCAGAGTGTGCAACAGCAAAAATTAAAACTGATAAAAGAGCTGAGATGCAAACCCACTACTCCAATAGGAGATTTAGACTCCCAAGTAGCATCTTGACCACATGTCCACCTTCCTATTCATACTTTAAAACAAGATTTGGTAGGCTGTATGACTCCAAAACGTAGTTTACAACGTTCAATACTTCAGCAATGTCTATATACTCACCTATTCTCTTTGTGTCATTGAAATCTGGTTCAGGCTCAGTATATGGCTTTAGTTCTTCTTCCTCATGACCAACATTCATCCATCGATCTTTCATTATTTGCTAGGAAACAACATTATGCTTGGTCTATCAGAATATTCAGTCATCTATTTCAGCAAAAGTTAAACTTCTTGATTCACACACCAATGATCATGTGATATATTCAACTTACAGTGACAGTTCATAGTTTGATTAGTGAATCAACAAAAGGGGCAGGACTTTGGTATACACATACGGTGTCTAATGACAAGTGGGATGATTACCCCATATGCTCATCAGGTTACTTATTCAAAGTAGCCTTCTTTGCATATTCCTTCCAAAAGAGTATTTTCAAACTTGAAGGTTTTAACATAACAATCTCTTAATTTTCAAGTTTCTTATTCTCACATTCAGATCAATGAAGTGAGTGTAATCTTCTAGTTTTCTATTGCATTTTAAAGTTACCATCACTAAAATATTAGGAAAGAAGAGATGAGGAATGGAAATTAGGGTTAGTCAACAGATAGCACAGAGAAAATGAGGAATAAGGGTAGTTAAAATTTATACCTACTGTTAGCAATTAGCTAAGATTTAGGGTGCAAATGAGTTCATGTGGGTTATCAGAGTTAGATTTAAATGGAGGCTGTGAAATGGTCAGTACTGGACTGTTTAAAACACAACCTAGTGGGGCCAAACAGCAGAAAATATCTGTAAAACATGTACTGGGTTAGGGAGTAATATGCACAATTCATCAAAAACTCCTACAAGTCCAAAACTCAATTTTAACAATGGGCCAAGGAGTTGACTAGGTTTGTCTCCAGAAAAAATAAACAAATGGTAAAGAAGCACAGGAAAAGACGCTCAACATCAGCAATTGTCATGGAAACTAAAAAGCACACTGGGGGGGGCCCAGCACGGTAGCCGAGTAGCTGAAGTCCTGGCCTTGCACACTTCAGGATTCCATGTGGGCCCAGTTCCTGTCTAGGCGGCCCCACTTTCCATCCAGCTCCCTGCTGGTCTGGGAAAGTAGTCGAGGACGGCCCAAGGCCTGCCTGTGCCTGCGTGGGAGACTCAGAGGAGGCTCCGGGCTCCTGGCTTTGGATCGATGCAGCTCTGACCTTCATGGTCATGTGGGGAGTGAATCAGTTGATGGAAGATCTTCCTCTCTGTATATCTGACTTTCCAATAAAAATAAATCTTAAAAAAAAAAAAAGCGCACACTGGGATATCAACTCACATCTGATGAAACAACCACTATGAAAACAAGGAAGGTGGTGAAATATGTGGCATTACAAAATGGTGCCGTTGTTATGGAAAATAGTATGAAGGGTTCCCCTCCCCTCCAAATCAACAGAACTGCCATATAATCCAGTAATTTCTACTCTGCGTACTGATTCGAAGAAAATGAACATATCGAAAAGATATTTTTATTCCTGCTCACAGCAACATTACAAATAGCAAAGATGGGACAGCAACCTAAATGCTTACTAGCAGAGGAAGTGATAAAAACATGTATTCTACACATGCTGTGGAATATTATTCAGACTCAAAAACTGATCGTATGATGAACCTTGAGGGCACTATGCTGAGTAAAATAAAAGGCAGCCACAAAAAGACTAGTGATACATGATTCTATTTGTACGAGGTACCTAAAGTAGTCACTTTATAGAAGCATAAAGTTACTAGGGTTTGGGCAGTTACTAGGGGTTGAGAAGAAGGGAATTGGGGGAACAAATGAGTTCAGGCTTTAGTCATGTGAAATAAAAAGGTTCTAGCAATCTGTGCTTGGAACAAAGCCACCATAACAGAAGCTCAAGATTGTTAAGAGGATAAATGTGTTATATGTTATGTTTTAACCAGTAAAAAAGAGAAAGGGCAACACAGAGGGTTTATATATATTATGTTATAGATATATAACATATATTATCATCAGTCAGTGGGAAATTGGAGCTGGGGCAAGATGAGGATCTAAGGATATAATTATTATATCTATGATGAAAAAGCAGAATGTTAGTAAAGAAAAGTATATGTGAATAACTATATTAATTTAGATACATTATGGACTTTTTATCACTACAGAGTTCATATCCATCCTAGGTCCCGACACATTGATTTTCTCTTCATGTGCTGTCAAGCACATTCTCCATTTCTAAACTTTATTTGCCAATATTCTACTATTTAGAAAAAAATATTTATTTTATATGTTAAATATCTATAACATATTATATATAATTATAATAACATTTAGAAAAATGCATGAGTGAACTTTTATAAGGCTAACTGTTCATCTCCACAGGTACCTTCCCCTCACTTACTGTTATTAACCCAAAGTGAATAATTAGAAGAATGCCAAAGCTCAAAACACCGAAATCTATGAAAAGATCAATGTGCTAGGTGGAAGAGTTTTCCTTAACATGTCAGTCACACTGTATATATTAAAATAAAAATTTGTGGGCAATTCTCATATGTTTTAAAAATATGATTATACAGACATGTAACTCCTAAAAAGATTACCACTAACTCAATTGTTATTATCACCGAATACAAGTACACTCACTACACATTTTAAAATAAATGCTGGAAAGAATCACATCAGGAGGATAAAAAAGAACAGTAGAGTTGCAGATTTCTGTTGTACAATTTTCCAAAACACCAAGGCTTTCTTATTCTTCCCCCATCCCCTCGCAACGCTTTTGACAGAAGCCTAATTGAGTCAGGCACTAGCATCTGTGGATATAAGATGCTGTTGGTGGAACCTCTCGGGTTCCAAAGTGGATATAGTAGCCCACATCCCCCACCCCCCTGCTGCACGATTTTGCTGTGATCTGAAACGATTAAGTAGAAAACCCTAGAAAAAAAAAGTTTATAAATTTACAACTGTGCTATTCTAAGTATTACTTGGACAGAAGCACTGTGCTTCTGTGTCAGTTGATCTGACAGCCAAGAAGGCTATTAAGTGCCCAACAGGCAGCGGTGCACACAGTGTAGACTTGACAGACAAAGGGATGATTCACATTCTGCCAGGATCTAGTGGGCCTGCACAAGATTTCCTCATGTTACTCAGAGCAGCTTCCTGCGACACAGATGTAGGAAGTCAAAAGAAGCCTAACATTCAGTTAGAATGCTTATGTCACTCACCTTGTTTTATCTTGTCACCTTGGCATTGCATCATTTCACCTCATTAAAAGGGTGATTACAGTATGTTATTTTGAGAGAGCCCATATTTACACAAATTTCATCACAGTATATAGTTATAGTTGTTCTACTCTATTATTAATTATTGCTGTTTATCTCTTCATGTGCCTAATTTATTAGTTGGGAAAATGTGGAAACAAAGAGAGGCAATTGGGAAGCTAAAAGAGAGTCAACACAGTTTAACTTTAATAGTCTGGTCATTAAGCACTTACTTAGCAGTCTGGTTTACAAGTTATATTCCAAAGCAGACTACATAGAATCTCAGAAAGAAGGAAGGTAAAGGTGGGAGGTAAGGATGGGAACATACTTACCCAAAGTCACAAGTAAGACAACTTAGCCAAAGTCACTAGTAACTGATAGCAATGGGCTTCAAACCAAATAGTTCAAAGAAATGCCTTCCCCCAAGTGCTGTCAGTGACGTTGGAGCACAAGGCACTCCATGCTGGCCAGGCAGCACTCACATTCCAAGGTCCTCTGCTGGGCTGCCCCAGGACCCTCCTAGGGGCAGAGCCACTGCACACAGCCGTGGTTCTCTCCCACAGGTCTTTGCCTGTGATTCTTTGCATCTCTCAAGACAAAGAATCCAACAAAATACAACTATACAAGAAGACTTAAAAAGTTCCTAGAAAATTGAAATAAAACATAAGCTTAAGGGCTAGTGCAATGGAGACCAGTGTAGTAGCACAGCAAGCTAATCCTTTTCCTTTAGTGCTGGCATCCCATATGGGCATCAGTTCAAATGGGCTGCTCCATTTCTATTCAGTTCCTTGCTATGAACTGGGAAAGCAGTGGAGGACAGCCATGTCTTTGGGGGCTCTGCACCCATGTGAGAGACCCCTTGCTCCTTGGTATGGATGGGCTCAGCTATGACCACTGCAGCCATTTGGGAATTGAACCAGCAGATGGAAGACTTGCCTCTCTATGTCTTCATCTCTCTGTAAATCTACGTTTCAAATGAAAATAAACAAATCTTTACAAGAAAGAGATTAATTTATTCTGGTATAATTTTTTTTTGAAATTCAGGTATAATTTTATCATAAAACATAATTTTACAAACTCTCTGAAAACTCCTTACTTGAAGGAGTAAGACTTCTCCTTAGTTGTGTCAATCTCATGCCTATACAACATTCTCTCATGGTAGCCCCAAGAGTTAACATTAAAAGTCAAGGAAGGGGCCAGGCACAGAGGCCTAGCAGTTAAAGTCCTTGTCTTGAACATGCCAGGATCACATTTGGTTGCCGGTTCTAATCTCACCAGCCCCACTTCCTATCAAGCTCCCTGCTGGTGGCCTGGGAAAGCAGTCGAGGATGGCCCAAAGCCTTGGGACCCTGCACCCATGTGGGAGACTGGAAGAGCTCCTGGCTCCCGGCTTCAGATTGGCACAGCACCAGCTGTTGCGGTCACTTGGGGAGTGAACCATTGGATGGAAGAACTGTCTCTCCTCCTCTTTGTATATCTGACTTTGCAATAAAAATAAAATAAATCTTAAAAAAAAAAAAGTCAAGGAAGAAACCTTCTGAAGTGACAGGCAAGAGCTCCTGTAACCCCAGTCTGGGCGGCTTCAGGCAGGATATAAAGAACTAGGCCAACAAACTGCGCTAGACAGAGAAACCAGCTGAATAAATTAACCCACTTCAGATTTCATTTCACACAGCTCAAAAGAAGACAAACACATTCCAAATTAAGCAAAGGCAATGTTATTGTCAATGAACAAAAATGACCACTTGCTCACAATAACAGAGAAATACTGGCAAAAGGGCTTCAGATGAATTATAAAAAATTAATCAACTATAGGAAGCATCCTATACTTAAGTGCACATTTAAAAACTCATGGGGTTTAGGATAGCCAGATGGGCATATTTTGACTTAATGTTTTCAATCTTTGGAAA